GGGGCGGTGCCAGTCGCGACCCGCCTCGCTGACACCCCGACGTTACTTGTGGTGAGCGAGGCTGCTTTTCCCCCACGAAAACAGCAAGAGGACAAAGGCGGTTGGCCCGGGCTGCGGAGCTCCTCCAGAGCCGTTCCTAAAGCAGGGTTGTGTTAAGAAGCCACCACCCAGAGCACGGGCCTGGGGAAAAATCTTTGTGACTGTGATGTCTGAAAAGCGGGTTTGTCGTCCGGTGTGCAAGAGGTCAGGAGAGACACTGGTTATCTACTTTAGGGCTGTGCAAGCCTAGATGCTCAGTGGCCTCCCATAAATCAAGCACTTTTCGTGCTATATTTATACACAAAACTGTCAGAGTTAGTAATTTTCCAAGGCTATCCTTTCTTCGATAATTAGTAATTTACATACAATTATAAACCTGCTGACACAATACTTCTACTACTATACATGTGCAGGGGAAGGGTCTTCACCTGTGTCAGCGTCTTCTTGTCCTATAGGCATGATTCTTAGTGTCATAATGAGGATAGTACAGTCCAGGATACATGGACCTTGAGTTTGCTTGCCAAGTTAGCAATGTACCCTCTTCAAGGTCTGATTGCTCTAGGATGTCCTTGCTCAAAGGTGGCTTCTACTTGTTCTTCTGATTAGGGATGCCTTTGGCTTTAATACATACAGAGAACATCCTGACCTAAGGGTAATATTGCTACATTGTTCTAAAAGTTTAACCTTCAACAACTGTTCAGCTCTGAGCACCACAGACTCAACAGAAATACCATTGTTAGGCTTTATAACATCTTTTCAGGCGCTGATAACTTTTTTCTGTCAAGTGTTTTAATTCATTTCTATTATACTGAATGAGAAGCACTGGAGATCAGTACTCATTTGGTTTGGACTGTGTGACTTCTCACCAGACTACAGAAAGGAATTTGTGCCCCAAAACTTCCCTGGTTTTGCCAACTTCATCACGTAGGCTGACAGAATTTATCCCTCCCTGTAAAACTTACCTCTCTGGGATACTGTAGAAGAACACGATGAAGGTAAGACTACACAGCCAGGGGTGGGTGCCTTCCCCAGCTGCTCCCAGTGAGGAGCCCCTGACACCTGTGAGCAGGCCACGTTTGTTCCAACCCCACTGCTTACATACCCTCCTTACACCTGAAAAAGAACAATAAAAATTATTTTACAAACTGAAGGTTTATATTAAGATAGGATGTTTTCTTTTACTGTGGTGACCTACCAAACCTTTACCTATGAAAGATCTGCTTCTAAATGATAATCAAAAATTCACTGACACCTGCATGTGCCATCATTTTCACATGGTAATGCTTAATACTGAGGTATTACGTAGTCATTTCATACTATTTTGTTTCACATTCCCAGTGAAGATCAGTGAATGCAGAATTGCATTGTAAAAGTCCTTTTTACAGTATAGTAGTGCCACAAAACTTAAGTTTCTTACTAAGATATAACTCCACAGACATAATTCATGATTTCTCTAACATCTCAATGGCACTTGTAAAAGACTCTCAATGGGCTAAGGTCACTGCTACTATGTTAAAATACTTTCACTTTTTGAATTATGAGTGAATTGTTCAGATTAATGATGATTTACTTTGATCTTTGATAGTATGACAGGTCAGGGAACATAGTTTACAGCTCTGAGTATTGCCAGGTAATGCGTCACCACTGGGGACTCGTTATTCTTCAAGTTATCAGCAGCAGTCAAACGTGTTTGTCATATGAAAATGTGGAACAGCTCCAACATCAGAAACCTAAAAAGTCTAAACATTGAGGTGACAAGCAAAACATTCTCTTTACTTATATTCTTGTAGAAATTGCTAAAATCTGCAGTCTGATCTCATAGCATGGTGTACTTTCAATATTGGAAAGACCATTCCTGTATTAGAAGTGGGGTTTTTTTTTAATGTCCTTCTTCATAGAGCTTTTCTAGGATGTCATTTCTCTTATGCTTAAGCACTTCACAATGTTCATCACAAATGTATGTCACCAATTTATGCCCACGTGCATTTTGCATTCTTGTGCCAGCACATCCTTTTAGCTTAAATAGTACTTATTTCATCTTCCTCTGTGAAAGTGAAAAGGAGGGTCATTTTGTTTTAAAAACTAAGACTTCAATTTATTCCAGCTTCTTAACTATCTTGGCAGAATAAATAGTTGAATAATAACTCACTGATAGAAAAGTGTCTCACAGGACCAGACACACTTTTTTGTGGAATATGCCTACTTGCAGCAGAAAGGGTCTCAAGCAGATATGGATTCTACTAATGTCATTCTGTTAGTAGTTCTTACTATATATGATCAGTTCTCTTTAACTTGTCTAAAAGTGGGAAGGCAGTACTTTGCTATCTTTTACTAATGCTACACAAAAATTTGATTTCACAGAATCACAGAATCTTCTATGTTGGAAAAGACCTTGAAGATCATCCAGTCCAACCATTAACCTACCACTGACAGTTCCCAACTGCACCATATCTCTCAGTGCTATGCCAACCCGATTCTTAAACACCTCCAGGGATGGGGACTCCACCACCTCCCTGGGCAGCCCATTCCAACACCTAACGACTCCTTCTGTAAAGAAATGGTTCCTAATATCCAGTCTAAACCTTCCCTGGCACAACTTGAAGCCATTACCTCTTGTTCTATCACTTATTACTTGGTTAAGGAGACTCATCCCCAGCTCTCTGCAACCTCCTTTCAGGGAGCTGTAGAGGGCGATGAGGTTTCCCCTCAGCCTCCTCTTCTCCAGACTAAACATCCCCAGTTCCCTCAGCCGCTCCTCGTACAACCTGTGCTCCAGACCCTGCACCAGCTCCGTTGCCCTTCTCTGGACACACTCGAGTCATTCAATGTCCTTTTTGTAGGGAGGGGCCCAAAACTGAACACAGGAATCGAGGGGCGGCCTCACCAGTGCCGAGTACAGGGGTAAGATCCCTTCCCTGTCCCTGCTGGCCACGCTATTGCTGACACAAGCCAGGATGCCATTGGCCTTCTTGGCCACCAGGGCACACTGCTGGCTCCTGTTCAGCTGGCTGTCAATCAATCCCCCCCAGGTCCCTCTCTGACTGGCAGCTCTCCAGCCACTCCTCCCCAAGCCTGTAGCGCTGCTGGGGGTGGTTGTGGCCCAAGGGCAGCCCCCGGCATTTGGCCTTATGGAAACTCCTCCAGTTGGCCTCAGCCCATGGCTCCAGCCTGTCCAGGTCTCTCTGCAGAGCCTCCCTACCTTCGAGCAGATCAACACTCCCACCCAACCTGGGGTCATCTGCAAACTGACTGAGGGTGCACTCGGTCCCCTCGTCTAGATCATCAATAAAGATGTTAAACAGGAGTGGCCCCAAAACCGAGCCCTGGGGGACACCACTCATGACCGGCCACCAACTGGATCTAACTCCATTCACCACAACTCTTTGGGCCTGACCATCCAACTATTTTTTTACCCAGCAATGTGTGTGCCCATCCAAGCCTCGAGCAGCCAGTTTCACCAGGAGAATACTGTGGGAAATGGTGTCAAAGGCCTTACTAAAGTCAAGGTAAACAACATCCACAGCCTTTCCCTCATCCAATAAGCAGGTCGCCCTCCTGTAGAAGGAGATCAGGTTTTTCAAGCAGGACCTGCCTTTCATAAACCCATGCTGACTGGGCCTGATCCCCTGGTTGTCCATTATATGGCTTTTAGTGGCACCCGAGATGACCTGCTCCATGACCTTCCCTGGCACTGAGGTCAGACTGACAGGTCTATAGTTTCCTGGATCCTCCTTTCTACCTGTCTTCTAGATGGATGTCACATTTGCCACCCTCTAGTCCAATGGCACCTCCCCAGTTAGCCATAACTTTTGGTATAATAAATCATGGAAAAGTGGCTTGGCGAGCACATCTGCCAACTCCCTCAGCACCCTTGGGTGTAACCCATCTGGTCCTACAGACTTGTGTGCATCCAAGTGGTGCAGCAGGTCTCTGACCACCTCCTCTTCATCTGTGCTGACCTCAATCTGCTTCCCCTCCCCATCTCCCAGCTCCTGAGGTTGGGTGTCCAGGGAACAGCCAGTTCCACTGCTAAAGACTGAGGCAAAGTCGGCATTGAGCACCTCAGCCTTTTCCTCATCCTTGGTTACCATTTTTCCCTCTGCATCCACTAAGGGAGGGAGATTTTCTCTAATCCTTCTTTTGCTGTTAACAAATTTAGAGAAAGATTTTTTGTTATCCTTAACAGCTGTAGCCAAGTTGAGCTCTAGCTGTGCTTTGTCTCTCCTCATTTTTTCCCTGTATAACTTCACTACGACTTTATAGTCTTCATGAAAGACCTGGACCCTCTTCCAAAGGTCATTTGTTCACCAAATATTTAAGGAAATATATTCATTGTAAAGATTTTCCCTAGCAGTATTTCCCCAAGATTTTACTAAAAAAAAACCAAAACAAACAACAACAAACGTAAATAAGGAAAGTGTGATTAGCTTGAGCTAAGTCTTCATTCAGCTTGTATTGCAACACTACCTATTTGTGCACTTGCAGTAAAACTGTTTCACAGATTTACAGACCTGCAACAGAAGGCAGTGACAGTAGCAATTTCCTTTTTTTTTTTTTTTTTTTTAATCTAATAATTTAGGATGCAATAGTCAAGGACAGGAAACTGAGCAATGAATTTTAAATAATCCGTCCAAGTAAACAGATGTATAGTTATGCTGTCAAACAGCACAGGAATCATAGTAGCAAACTAGGGAATTGTTCTGTTTTAATGCTATTCAAATCTATATGGGACCAGCAATTTACAGTTAACTGAAGGATGCTGAAGGAGGTCAGACAATATGGTAAAATGACAGTGTAAACATTTTGACTATGGGGTCCCATTCATGAATACAAACCAAAGATGAAAAAAGTAATTTTTAGATTCTTTATTCATTTGGATGAACAAAAATGTGACTATGTTTTTGTCT